ATCGTTAGCTGCTGTTTGGAAGACTTGTTCGACCCTTCAAGATCATTTCGCAGCTCGGCGTGCCAAAATGGAAGAAGATCCGACTAAGGTTCCAGAGATTCCAGGTGATGATCATGCCGAGTTTAGAGAACAGTTCGTGCAGCGTCATCCAGATGTGCTGCTCCCCCATCATCGGGAGCCTCACCGGAAGCTTGTCGAGCGGATCCAGCGTGACTTCCTCGTTCATGGTGCAGTTCCATTTTACGAGGTCGGTGAGATGCGTACTCGGAGTGAACAGATTGCTCAAAAGAGTGGCTTGTCCAAGAATGCTGAAGACCTCCTGCGAGTTGTTGTGGTTGATCAGCCTGTTGCTGCGGCCTCAGAATCCCAGGTCATGGACAAGCTGCACGCCTTCTTGGTCGCTCTTGAATACCTCAATATTTGTGAGTTCACATATACAGCAGGTCCTTTGCGGTACCTGTCGGAGCTTGAGGAGTGGCGCCAAGAGAATCACGGGCTTGCCTTGTTGTTGTCGGTCGATTCCTTGATCAGGAAGAAAGTGTACCGCCTGAACTCAGATCAGCGTAAGTCGTTCGGCTCGTTCTCGGCTGCTCTGGTGGAAGTATTGACCAACCATAAACAGTTGTGGAATGATGCTCGCTCGAGCGCTGAGTTGGAAAAGTTCAAACAGGCCGGTCACCAAGCTCCATCGACGCCACCCCGCAAGCGCTCGCATCCGGAACGTTCTGAGTCGCCTCCGAAAGCTCCTTCCGGTACTCGAGCCAAGAAGAACAAGGCCAGGCGCGAACGCGCCAAGAAGACACTCCAGGCCGCGCGTGAACATTTGAAGCCAAAGTCCGATCGAGAGACTCCAAAGAAGGATGCCCGTGTTCCGGCCGCAGAGTGGGCCAAGATTACTTCGTTCAAGTATAGTGGCAAGAAACGCTGTCCGTGGTTCAATTGTTCGCTCGGCTGCCGTTTCGGGGATCAATGCAAGAGTGCTCATCTGTGCGTCGAGTGTGGGAAGGCCCACCCGTGGCACGGGAACCACTGAGTGCCGCATGCTGTGTGCAGGGAGCAAGAGGCTCCATCGCCCCCTGCCGTCCGTTCGGAGCCACTAGACACGGATGAAGTTCTTTCGACAGAGCTGACAGTGTCTTCCACCTACATGCCATGGAGGTCGTGGGACCAAGTTCCGCGGGACGCTTCGGCCGTTGTCGCTCGGGGACCATTCTTTTTGGAGATCTTCTCGGGCACAGCAACCCTGACTCAGGCCATTCGGAAGGCGGGGATCCCCGCGTTGCCACCGATCGACATCACGGTTTGCTCGGAGGTTCCCACTCCGTTCGATGTAGTGGATGCTGATCAGTGGTCTTTTGTGATGCAGTTGATTCAGGCGGGGGCTGTTCGATTTTTGCATTGCGGCACCCCTTGCAATACTTTTTCAGCTGCTCGCAAGCCCGATGGGGGTCCTCCACCACTGAGATCGGTCGATCAGCCGGAAGGCCTTTCAGATCTGTCGTTGGACAATTCAGCCTTAGTTTTCCTAGGTAACCTCTTTTTAGACCGTTCGATCGAGGCCTGTCAAGCAGTGTTCGATCGTGGCGGAAATTTTTCCATCGAAAATCCAGAGCACAGCCTTTTGTGGCTTGCACCAACCTTGCTCGCCCTGAAGTGTCGGTCACATGCCATGTTCGTGGACTTTGATCAATGCATGTTTGGCGCACCTTCTGTGAAGCCGACACGGCTCCTGATCTCGCACGAGGCGCTCATGTGTTTGCAGGCGCGGTGTGATCACAGGCACTCACATGTGAGGCTTACTGGCAAAGTGTGGTCGTCTTTCTTCAACGCTTGGGTCTTTCGCACCAAGTTGGCTCAAGTGTATCCGGATGACATGTGTCAGGCGATCGCCAACGCAATTCGCTTGATTTGGCCGGATTCGGGCTTGCAGTTCATGAAGAGCTTTTGCGTGTCCTCACCCGATCGTAAGCGCCCCCTTGGCCAGCCCTTGCGTTGGAAAGAACATCGACAAGCTCTTTCCGCCTTGAAAGCCGAAGCGTCCGGCTACCAGCTTAAGAGGGGCGCTCGCCAACCATTGTTGCATGTGGAGACGGAACCAGGAGTGGCGATCGCTTGGGCCCTGGATCTGCCCCACCCCTTGTGTGTTGAAGTTGACCTGGATCCAGGCATCTCCTCATGTATTGCCGCTCTGGCTGCAGACACAACTCAGGTCGTGACCGATCGGCTGCACCAACTTGAAGTGTGGCGCAATCGCGCCGTAGTTTTGCTGCCTCAGACGGACCAGCTGCTGCAGCGTGTTCCGGATGCCGCTCTTCGACGTTTGTTGCGTGGCCAACCTGATGGTTCGCCTTGCCAGCTCGGCTCGTGTTGCCACGTGTCCTTGTATTATGAGATGCTTGAAGCGTGTGGCTCGGTCGATCGTTATCTTCCCGACCTGCTGCTCCAGGGCTTTCCAATTGTCGAGCCCATCGCTCGTTCGCGGCGCTGGCCAGACTACGACAAACCGCAGCGAGTGTTGTCAGTTGATCATGCTTGTCAGCGGGCCTGGGAGATCAGAGCAAAGATCATTGCACGAGTGCAGAGAGTTCCGAGTTCGGAGAATTTGCAGAAGCTCTGGGATTCGACTCTCGAAGATGTGGCTGAAGGGTCATCTTTGGGCCCCATGACGTCGATCGACGAAGTTTCCAACATGCTGGGTTGTACAGACTGGATCCCCACACAGAGGTTCGAAGCGGTTCAGAAAAACAAGGTCAGAGGTTGCGACAGTGCAACCACTAACCTGATCAACCAGATCACTCGAATTACTGAGAAACTTCGACTGCCTTCGACAGACACGAACGTTGCTGCTCTTAGGAGGTTGAGGTCACTGTTGCCTGATGCCTCGTTCGCAGGCTGGGTGCTTGATGAGCGTAAGGCCTATCGGCAAGTAGGGATCAAGCCTGACCATCGTAAATTTAGTGTCATTTGCCTTAAGGATCCGAAGTCGAACGTGCCTTCCTTTTTCGTAATGGTAGGGCACTCTTTCGGCCTTGTGTCGGCTGTGTACAACTATAATAGGCGCTCGGCCGCGATCAATGAGATTTTGTGCTCCTTGTTCAAGATGGTTGCATTTAACTTCTACGATGATAAATACGGGTTTGAGCCCGTTGCCTCGATCGAGTCAGCCTTTCAGGCGGCACAGTGTGTTCACTGGTGGCTTGGGGCGTCGTTCGACGCAAAGAAGCTCCAACTCTCCACCCAACCGGTGATCTTAGGAGTGACTTACAATCTCGTTGATTGGGTGTTGGAAATCAAAGCCGCTCGGCGCCAGGAGCTGATTGATGAGATCGAGGCAGTTCTGGCCTCGGATGAGTTAGAGCCTGGTCAGGCGGGTAAGCTAAAAGGTAAGCTTATGTTCGGTGCCAGCCAGCTCTGGGGCAAGGTAGGCAGAGCGTTCCTGAGGTCCATCTCGGAACGACAGTATGCTCGTGTCGCTCACACCGATCGTTTTGGGCTAGATCCCCCTTTGAGAGAGTCGCTTTCGCAATGGTTGAAGCTCGTTCAAGGAGGGCCCCCCAGAACGATCGACTTGTGTGTCAACAAGAAAGCCGATGCGGTGTTGTTCACGGATGGGTTTTCCCCTGACCCCAGGGATGCTCTGAAGCTTCCCGACCGGATCGGTGCCGTCCTCTTCGATCGTAGGATGATGAAACCCATTCAGTTTACCGCAGTTGTGCCGCTCGAGCTCAAGAGACGGTGGCTAGTTCGAAAAACCCAAATTATACCAGTGGAAATGCTCGCCCCGATTGTTGCTCTTGAGACGTTCGCTGATCGGCTTAAAGGAGTTGACTTGTTCATTTTCATTGATTCGGAGGTGGTGGAATCGGCCTTGATCAAAGGATACTCGAGCAGGACGGATATCTGTTCCCTGATCTCCGTCTTTTGGGACGTTGTGCTCAGGATGCGGATTCGAGTGTTCATCGATCGAGTTGCCACAGATGCGAATCCAGCAGACCCTCCCTCGAGAAATGACTTGTCGAGAGGCGAACGCTTAGGGTGGCAAACTGTGTGGGCTAGGTGGCCGTTCGAGCTGAATCGTTGACTGATGCGACATTGGTCAAAAAGTTTGGGTGCCGGAGGTACTGAGGGCCTGGGTGTTGGGACTGTGTTCCTAAACCTTTTGAAAGGGGGGTTCTACCTTGTCCTGTCGGACTCGCGAAGAGATACCCTGTTCAGGATGAGTGTGTTCCTCACTTCCCCCTTCGGTCTCTTCTGTGTTCACCTACTTTGATTCAGTCGAGCACTGTGACCCCATGCCTACAGCACTCGCTCAAAAAGAGAGCGCTTCAGTTTGTATGGGACACGGCTGAACAAGCAACCTAAGGGAGGTGCGATGTTTCGCAACGAGTGGGGAGCAAGTTAACGGCTGGTTGGTAGGAACTTGCAAGTCACTCGACACGAAACTGTTCAGTTGTGTTTTTCGATATTGTGTTACATCTTGGAACTCACAATCGATCGATTCTTCGCCTTTGCCATTTTGGCGAAAGAGAGCGATCGCTCGCCAGGTTTAAAAGCCCACCCTGCCCTCCCTGGGGCCGATCGGATGCCTCAGGGGGGCGCAGGCCAGGCCAGGCGCATCCGTCGGCTGTGAAGTGAGTTGATCAGGATCTGATCACTGAGAAGATGTCCGATTTTGAGGGGGTGTTGGGACTGTGTTCCTAAACCTTTTGAAAGGGGGGTTCTACCTTGTCCTGTCGGACTCGCGAAGAGATACCCTGTTCAGGATGAGTGTGTTCCTCACTTCCCCCTTCGGTCTCTTCTGTGTTCACCTACTTTGATTCAGTCGAGCACTGTGACCCCATGCCTACAGCGCTCGCTCAAAAAGAGAGCGCTTCAGTTTGTATGGGACACGGCTGAACAAGCAACCTAAGGGAGGTGCGATGTTTCGCAACGAGTGATTGATAGTTGGACCTTTCCCAAGACTTTAAAGTCGGAGTCAAGTCGCCTTGAGCGCTGTTGAGGAGTCTGATTCAGATGGCTCCCCGGTTTGCACATAATGCTGCCATTTGCTGAAAAAATGTTGACCCCTTGCAATCGGGTTTAGCAAGTATGACCGCTATGTCCCAGTGCACCTGGTATATAGTGTTTTGCAAAAGATGAGCCGGCTGGCCTGAACCCAGCCAGACCCAAGATCAGCAAGCTCTCCCTTAGGTTTTGAACAGAGCAACCGAGAAAGAGGGGAACATTTTCGAACACTGTACTCCGTTCTACATGGTTTGGATGATGAAGTTTGGAGAGAGCTTGCCCATTGAGTAGGTTTCTCCAAAAAGAAAGGGGGGCAAGTGAGTTTTCCAACTCCTGACCTCACGAAAAACCACGGGACCGCGGTTGCTGGAAAATTTAATGCACCACTACTTATGATATTAATTGAGAAACATGTCAATCTTTCGATTGATCTACATACCGTACAGGGTGACAGGGGACGAGCTTCTAGCGCTGAGGCCGCCGGAACTGGAACACCGTGTCTCCACGCTTCATGCGGGGTCTCCAGCTCCCACCTTTGGTAGCTTGGCCGGGTGGCAATCGCTTCGTTGAACCCCGAAAAGATGCGCACCGTCGTGGGTTCTTGACACCTGGGTGAGATATGGTTCAACCTCCTTGAAGCAGGTGAAGTAACAACCCTTACAGAGACTTATCGAGGTCTAGCTAGCTTCTTCAACAACGCAGCACTCAGCGGGGGAGAGCGAGCGGTGCCGCAGCCTAAGCCCACCTTCCTCATTCACCTGGTTGGGGCCGCAAAGGTCCTTATGTTTTGTCTCTAGACTTCCAGTTTGTAGGATGAAGGCTGAAAAAGTTGTGATTCAGGTATAGTCATGGTCCATGGTGTTTATATTCAAGGTTTTGACCACAGTTTTCTGTGGAGCTCCTGTTCGCTTCGAAGCTTTGGCTACAAAGGCTCCTCAAGCTGAAGATGCAGGGTTGAAGCATCTTCTCGAGGACTCTTGATTCCACCTTTCTGTATCTCAGAGCCACGCCGGATGAGCAATTTCAAGCACGTGGGCCAGTTTTTTGGAAGAGCAGCCGTTGCTGTGTCCGCCTTTTTGTATTTGTGCAAGGAGACGCCAAGCAAGTGGTTCTTGGACGACCAGTGTCTTGTTTGCGTTGGACCTCCGGTGGGACCTCCGTTTAGACGTGTTCCAGGCTTTGGCGGGTTGGGGAGAGGCCGTTTCTGGTGAGGAAATCGCTCCGGACGGCGCTGTGAAGCGCGCCTTTGGCTTCAGGAAGTACTGCCGGAGGGAAGTCCTCGAGGAGAATGTGATTGATGCAGAGATGTTGAAAAGAATAAATTTCTTTCGATGCCTGGCACGGGAATTCGTTTGAAACAGATGTGAGTTGTTGGCCCGCCCACTTGCGCAATGTATGTTAAGTCGCCAGCCGCCAGCCTGGCATTTGCGACATGCTTTGTGGAAGAGGTTGGTCACAAGATTTTAGCGTTGAGGCAGAGAGAGAGAGAGAGAGAGAGGAAGAGAGAGAGAGAGATAGATAGATAGATATATATATATATATTTAGAGATAGAGAGATAGAGATTATATAGAGAGATAGATGGATGGAATGGAATGGAATGGAATGGAATGGATGGATGGATGGATCGATCGATGGATCGATGGATCGATGGATCGATGGATCGATGGATAGAT